AGATCAACGTTCCATAGTGCTCGTGCAGAGCTGACAGTCGAGACTCAAAACATGCCGACAGACGATAACTCAAATTCAAGATCAACACTGAAAGTGTTTAGTTGGAACGCACGCACTCAGTATCAACAAAATTCCCTCTGGAGCCAGTACTTCAAATTTGAAAAATTTCGAAGACTTTGCTTTCTCTGAGCAACTGGACTTAATATTTGATTTGTTACTAAAACTCGCTTCAAGGATTGTACTCATGCAAGAGAATATGAAGTAATACTTAACATTCTCTTGACTCATGACAAGGATATTCTACTGGACTTAGTATTTGATTTGTTACTAAAACTCGCTTCAAGGATTGTACTCATGACAAGGAGATTCTACCATGCGGAAACAGCATCTTTAGATGTGATCGACGTGGACGGAATACTGGTGGAGTTCTCATTGCTACGAAAAATGACTGCTTCGCAAAGACTGAAAACGTCGAGCTAACCTGTAACATCGAAGCCTGCGCAGTCGAATGCGATATTCAAAAAGGAGGTAAAATGCTGTTTGCTTGCATCTACAGACCGCCTGACTCTCCAAACACATGGATTGGCCAATTCCGAGCCCTGCTGAATCTTCTTTGTTCCCGCTATGACCGTGTAATCATGGCAGGTGACTTCAACTTCCCTGGCATCAAATGGAATCATGAAGATACTTCTACTTTAACCAAGCTGAATCTGAATTCTACGAAATACTCAACGGCTTCTTCTTGTCACAAAACAGCCGAAAAGTTAATTGAAAGGTTTTACTCAGTATAGACCATTTGTTCCTTTTTCCCATTTAGTTAGCTTGGAGAATTATTAGGTTAAGTTCTAAGGACCGATTTAGGTCAGTTTAGTTTAAATCATTTTTTCATGCCGTTTAGTTGATAGGATCTATTGTAATTGGGGAAACCTGTAGTAGATTCCTAGCCTCTTATTTGATCTCTTATTATTCAGAGATACGTTTTGTAGTCTCTTCTTTAACCCGCTAGCTATTGATAACCTAAGAGTTGGCTGTAAATAAAATGAGATGGGATGAGATGGGATGGGATGAGATGGGATGGGATGGGATGAGATGGGATGAGATGAGATCCTCTAGCAGCTTCGTAGTGAGACACCACTTTCTTTTTCCTTGCAGTATCTGTGTGCTTTTAAAAGTAGCTATTAAATTTCCAGGTTGCTAATATTTTTTCTTTTATTTTGTTTGGTAGATTCAACCTGAAGTTATTGTATGTTGAGACTGTGGAAAACGATATAAGACCAGAGGAGGATACCAAAGACACAGGACAGCCAAACACACCAACATCGCGACTCCAAAAGAATAAGCTATCACTCTCACCCCAAGCATCCTTTGAGACATATTGAAAACTGCCGTACACAAAGTTAAAACTGCTCAGCTGTATGCTCAGTCATTTAAAAATGAAATGGAAGTTTATTCATTTGAAGAACTCAAGGAAGACAGTGTAGAATTTGCGATGCTCAAGTCTACATTTGATGGATATTCAAAGAATGGCGACACTGAAAAGTTTTATGCTAAGTACTATACTGAAATTTCTTTAAACTCTGCAAAATACTTTAAAGGACTCTCAAGAAATGCTGCCACATTATTATCAACCAAGGTAGCAGATTGCATGCTTGTATACTGCAAGCAATTGAAGACCTCCAAGGATAACAGCCCACATCTACGAACTGCACTGTCAGACAGAGAAACAGCTGGTCTGCAGTATGAGTGTGTCAGAGTTGTTATGTACTGCATAATCTTCACAAAAAGCATGGTACTAAAAAACCACCAGAAAGCCAACAGACAAGGTCTATTTTAAAAGATGGAAATTTAGAGGATGGATGTGACTCCCAGAAACTGGTTTCAAATCTTAGCCGTGGAGGACTTATCACAAAGTATTCACAAAAAGTTTTTTCTTTAGAATAGAACATTATTTTAGACAATTATCTCCTGATGGCAATTTACAAAGTATAAATATCCAGGGAATAACTGATAAGTCAGTAACTGATAGTGAGCTGCTTGCTTATTATAATTTTGATAGTTTCTGACTCAGAATTGGTACCAGCAACAGATATAATTAGGGATGTTTTACATGCAATTGCAGATTTATATGTAAGGGTGAGATCCTTTTCTTTTGCTAAAGATATTATTCAGCATCACAAGCTTAGAACTAAACAAACTAAGTCTAAAGTACTACGCAAAGAAATAAGTAATATTAATATCAATTTTGAAATTGTGAAGAGGACAATGAAAAAAGGCTTGAGTAGAGAAGTAGCTGTCAGTTGTAAATTTGATCACTTGTCTTATCATAAAACAAAATCGTTTTAATACCTAATAATGTAAAAAATTCATGAATATAGGAAGAGATAATGCCAGACGGTTTGTTATGACTCTAGTTATTTGTATCTGCAATCATGTTCATAAATCATACTGATTGTACTTTT